CGGTCTCCCGCGTGACAGGCGGGGATACTCACCACTGGGATTAAAGAAGGCAAATATGACATCGTATATCTGAAGAAGCATTTTTTAAAGATGAAAATATTTATAAAATATATAAAATATCTATTATCAAAATAAAAGAAGCAAATAAAGAATAGGTTTGAGAATCCTTTTGATTTATCAATAAATCATTTTTGGCTTGTAATATTTTCCAAAGTTTAAATTGTTAATATTCCTTAGAGTGTTATTAGATTAAGAATGTGGCTTTGTTTGCTAAACTATTAAAGAAATTTAAAAAAAGTACAGTGCAAGATGAAAAGTTAAGATTGCCTATTATTCTCTCAGTAAAATTTTTTAGGAAAGTTACAACTGAGTGACTAGACACTCGTGCAAATAGAAGTATATTATAACAAATTTCACCATTTGGCAGCAAATGTGTTAATAAAAATTAACACATTTGCTGCCAATTAGCACAGTTTTTCATCATGTGACCTTCACAACACAAAATAGCATCAACTGGCAGCAAATATTTTACTATACAGTAGAGCGTTGTTTATCCAAAAGTTGGTTATCTGAAACGTCAGTTATCCAAAAGAATTCCAGTCAGCAAATTTAAATTTTCACTAGTGCTGTGGTGCTGCAATCTTTGGCTATATCTTGGGTTACTCCAATATTTTTTTTGTTGATGTGTGTGTTTTAGCTGGCAGCACTGGCACTTTTGTGTAGTGTTTTTCTGAGGACTGTGTGTCATGCTGAACCAAACGTTTTTGATACTAGATTAACTTCTAAAGTATAAATTTTTTTGTTTTTATATTTTTCAATATATTTATTTTGTTTGTAAAAAATAAAGAAATAATTTTTAATGATACAATAGCCATGATTATTATTTTAAAAAGTTTACATTAGGCTTAACATCAACAAAAATTCAACGCGAAGCGACATGCAATGGAGAAAAATTTCAACACGGGATAGGTTAATATATGTTTTCGTACATAATTCGTTATCCGAAAAATAAGTTATTCGAACAACCCCAGTCCCCAATTGATTCGGATAAACGACGCTCTACTGTATTTACAAAAAAGTAATAAGTTTAAATTTAATTTTATAATCAGGGATGATAAAAATTAAAATTTTTAAGGGCACAAGATAAAATATAAAAGCTACTGAAATATTCTGTATATTTGACCACTATCAAAGTTAGTTATATAGCAAAAAATTATTAGAATTAGAATATAGACATTGAAACTATTTTATCATTATCATCATTTTCAACATTTTATCTAAAAATGCAGAATTTGTAAATACTAGCACAAGAATCCTTCATTAACCAGAGAGAATGGTCTGTGGTCAGAGATTACCTCAAAATCTTCATTTTTTCATTTAAAGCAACTTGTCATATCCAAGGTTACTCATGATTTCCATTCAACATGTTGGTCCTACAACATGGTTTAATTTAAATTGAATTTCTGCTAAGACTTGCATATTGCAGTTGAAGTACATAAAAGAAAATGCAAAAGCCACCAAATAGATTCATGTATAGGAATAAATTTTTAGTTGCCCTGGCACCCAGAATTTTATCACTTCTGGGTGCCAGGGCAACTAAAAATGTATTATTACTAATATATATACTGATATTAGTAATAATACATTGGACAAAAGTTTCATACCATTTAAAAGTATTACCCATAGTTGCCAAATGGATAAAACCGCTGAAAATTGGTAGTTGGTCATAGGTTTACATCTGACAATTAGGCTGGCTGCCTGTAGTTTTCCAAGTTTTCTTCACATGTCCTGGAACCCAAATAGAGGTTGGTTTCTCTTAAAAGTCTTCCTGGGAGACATCTCCCCTTGGCAGATCACCTATGTGTTGCATTGCCGTATTACATTAAACCAAACCACTTCAAAATATTTTTTAATATAATATAAAATGTTCATAGAGTTATAATATGTANGCGAGATATAAGCCCCTGAAATAATAAATTCCTATTTATATTGTTAAAGGAATTCCTAGTTATATTGTTAAAGGAACCATACCCCTACTCGCAACCCCTTGCGAGTAGGGGTATGGTTCCTTTGCCTTTATTGTTCGCACAGGGGGCTACAATTTGGGGGTCGCTACTTTTTCACCTAATCTTACCATTGGGACTTTAACAGAGCTGTAGAGCATATTGATAGGAACAAAAAAGTCAAAGGAACCGTGCTTCATGGAAATTTGTAAACAACGCCCACTAGGGGGCGTCCTGGGCTACTAGTTCCTGTATATTTAATTATAATACTTAAATATATTGGAGCTACAATAAAGGTCTAGAACAGGGGTGACAAACTTATGGCATGCATGTTCAAAGTGGCATATAAGGAGAAATCATCTGGCCCATAATGTATTGATATCATGCAATTTTGATTTATCATCTGTCTTTTTCAATTATTCTTTCAGTTTATCACCTGATCATCATTTTTTCAGCAAGCTTTTTTACTAATGTTGTGATGTTTAATCAAAATTGGAAGTGAGAAAATCTTGTCACCCAATTCTTAAAAACAATTCTTCTACATTTTATAAGAAAACTAGCAGATAAGCCCAGCGTTGCTTGGACAAAAAGTAATGATATCGAAGATTAAGATTATTACATTACAGCCAATCTTACCCGTTTTCACAAAATGCAAGAATTAGGTTCCCCTGTTTCCAGACTAATTACAAAATTTTTAGATGGGTCTAAAATTATGTTTTATTTAATGCAAAAAACTGCATCTGATCCTGTAAATCTTGCACATTGCTTTCTCTTAACACTTTCATTGTTGAAGCCTTAATCCTGTCCCTTTCCCTGTGGGGGGAAATTTCAAAAAATCCCTTGTTAGTGTGTGTTCTCGTGACATACCCTAACTGTGTACCAAATTTCAAGTTTCAACTCCTAACCATGCTGAAATGCTCACAGTGAAATGCTCGTATACATGCACGCCATCTATTGTGGGATAAATGTACTATGCCAGAAACCTTCACGGGAGTGTATTAAACAACTTCCCAAAGTTTCATGGCAGTCGGATAAATGGTGTAGTAACGCATGAAGGACAGACAGACATACATTCGTTTTTATATATATGGATTAATTGTCTGTTTCAATCAAAGATTAAAAGTTTTTAAATTATGATATTAACAATTAAATATTAGTTTATTGGAAACTTTCATGTTGACAAAGCAGAGAGTACATGACAGCCCATACATGAAATGATGTTAGTCACAGTGGACTTTTCTTTTGTGTAGTCAGAGTGGCAAGAGATTGCTCTTGGTCGATACTAACTGTCTTAATTTTATGGGAGATGGAATGATTTTATGGTTGCCATCCAGTTGGCATTGGGTCAGCTTGACTGGAAATCTGTATTCTGTATATGTATATAAATATTTTATATATATTATTCTATTCCAAGCAAAAATATGAATATGAATGAGAAAGTACTTACATCATTATCTCATTATAGTAAATTTTTTTTTATTTTCAAGTGTTTTTCACAATTTAAATTCTCTGAATATGAAGGAAATTTTACTGGAATACTTTTACAATAACTGCATAATTCTGGAGGAACAAGACTTAGGTCTACATAATTCTGGCGCAAATGGATAGCACTGGATGGAATGCGGCACAGTGGATGCACTAGAAATTTTTCACTGGGATTAAAGAAGGCAAATATGACATCGATAAAAAGAGGAACAATACAGCATTAGTGAGTTTTGCTAATGTGGAAGATGTAAGAATCATATGGGATAATTCAAGGATATTTGAAGAGTGTTTCTTCATCTTTCCATGTGTTCATGACCAAAAGAATCCAGATATATGAACAGAAAATCTATGGAGATTGCCTGAATTAGTGCAGACACTAAAATCTAGCCCCAACATGGAAATATGCAATAGTTCAACCCACAAATTTTTTTGTAGTGTATTTTAATACATTATTATTTTCATCTGATACTTTTTATTACAATCTTGTCCCAATCTGTAGGATGTTAGTAATTGGTTATATCACTTATATTTTATTCTTTCAAATTTTTAAATAACAGTTGAATTTCTGTAGTTTGATATTAAAGAACACTTGAAGAAGGATGGTAAAGTAGATCAAAAACATTAGTTTTAAAATTATTTTACTGTTTATGATGATGTTTTATACAACAGAATTGTTTTTACTAGGAATCTATTACTAATCAAACAATACATCCAGATTCTTATCATTCTACAATAAGGGTACTTAATTAGTTAGATAATAAGCAGTTTGGCTGGAGGTAGGCAGTTAAACTACCATCTTGTGTTGGCTACCTCTAACCAAACTGTTTAGTATCTTAACTAATTAAGTATCCTTATAAGAATCTGGTTATAACATTTGATTAGTAATATGTATCATGTTAATTATATATGTAATTTTTTATAATATTATGTTGATATAATTTCTTTATTATGTTTACTATGATTACATTTTAAAAATATACAAATTTACATTTCTTATTTACTAATGTTACAAATTAAAATTTAATCTTAGGAGAGGTCATTCTGTTTTGCAAGAAACCTTGCCACGAAAAGAAGAGCATGTACTACTTATCCGAATGACTCCTATACAAAGGACATTATATAGAACATTTGTAAAAAATCTCATTCATGTACAAAATGCTTCTAATCCATTAAGATTATTTGCTGTTTGTTGTAAGGTAGGATATTAAAAACTTTATTTTACTATTTTAAGTATTATCATTTTAAAAAAGTAAATTATTATTTCTTCTAAGATATGGAATCATCCTGATATACTATATAACATTCTTCAAGATCGTAAGGCAGAACTCAGTGAGGATAATGATCTAGATATAGAGCTTGGAAATTTAATATCTGCAGCTACATCAGGGAACAAAATTAATATGCGGAAAAAACGTAAAAAGAAATGCCATTATGCTTACAAATTTAAATTGAAATTTTGATATTAATCTTGTTTTAATTCAATACAATTTTCTTAGGGGTAAATAAAGATATTGGAAATATGGGACGATCATTTCTAAATGGTTTTTCTCAGGAAACCGGGACTAGTATTAGAGATAAATATGATTCATCTATCAGTTATGATTGGGTGAGTAATAGTTTGTGTAAATTTAAATTAAATTCTTTTAAATTGAATAGCTTATATAATAAAAATTCTTTCAGGCTATTCCACTTATGTCGAACTATATACCAGGTGTATTAGAAAACAGTCATAAGATGACTGTTTTGTTTTCTATTATTGAAAGAACTCTTAGGATTGGAGATAAACTACTTATTTTCAGTCAGTCACTATTTACATTAGATTTGATTGAAAAATTCCTTAATCAACGTAACGTTCCACCTAGATTGGGAATAATTAACAGTAGTTTAGGTCCTGTCAAATGGTGTAGAAACAAACACTATTTTAGTAAGTATTTTTTTATGTAATTTAAATAAATTATTTTATTTATGTAATTTAAACAATTTCTAATTTAAATTTGTAATTAGGATTGGATGGTAGCACCTCACCTCAAGATCGTGAAAAGTTAATTAATGAATTCAATACAAATGCAAATATTAGTCTCTTCCTCCTTTCAACAAGAGCCGGATGTCTTGGAATTAATTTGATTGGAGCCAATCGTATAGTTGTGATTGATGCTTCATGGAATCCTTGTCATGATGCTCAGGTATAATTTTAATATTATTTGAAAATTGTGTTGTATTTATAAATTAATTTCATTGATTGTAATATTGTGAAATTGAATACATGATTCATATACTATACACTCTTACTAATATGGCTTCTCATTTATCTGGCAGATCGCCTATGCACTTTTGTTTGTATGAAATATTAGTCATATTAACATTCTGCTTTTCTGTTTACTTGGGTTTCATTTCTATGTACACTATTGCACCATATTACCCATCCACCTGCCTCCAAAAAGAATTGATACCAAAGGGTGATAGGTCACATCATTCAACGCCTTTAGGCCTTTATGCTTTTGGTAATCTGACCTACTCCTGTACAAGAAATGGCCAGATTAGCAAGAGCGATTTGTGAACTGATATTTTAGAATTTCTTTAAATATCATTATTCAAAGTCTAAAACTTTGGCATGCATACTTAGCTTTAAAGATGTTTATCTTTAAAGCTAAGTATTTAAAGATGTTTATCTTTAAAGNTTTCTGTGTGTCTATGTATGTAAAAAAATGTAATTAATAAATGATTAAAATATTAAATTTGGCAATTTGAGTCTCTTGTTTTTAAAATCATTAAGATCATAATGGTGTGAAAGAGAAAACTATTTTAAAAAATAGTTTCAAATAATAAAATTTATTATAAGCTTATAAAAATATGTTAAATAACTTGAATGGTATCATTGCTAAAGATGCATTTTTTCCACTTTAAAATTGGAGTTTATGTTAAATTTAGTATTATGATTCTTCAACAAAAACAAACTTTTATCTGAAACATTATTTTCAAAAAAAAAAAAAAAATGCCCATATCAGAAGTTACAAGTGTTCGAAGTTTTATGCAGTTGCCACAGTGCGTACATGTAAATAAAAAAAAAAAAACATTAAGACACTGTTATTATTTGATGAAATCATTCTTTTTCTAAATTTAGTTTTTGTCACTATCATATTAGCATCCTGTTTTTTTCTTAATATCTTTTAAAAAGTAGGATTCATTTTAAATTCAAACTGATATATCATCTCTCTTTTCCCTTCTTTGTATGAGTAAAAAATGTCAATACAAAATAAGCCAAAATTTATATTTACAGGCTGTCTGTAGAATTTATCGCTATGGTCAACAAAAGCCTTGTTACATCTATAGACTGGTCACAGATAATAGTTTAGAAAAACGTATTTATGACAGACAAGTAAACAAACAGGGAATAGCAGGTAATTACATAAAGTAGTTATTTGGTAACCTTTAATTGTTTATCTTTTCTTAAATGTAATAAGCTTATTAATAAAATAATTTTTTACTTAATTTTTTTTCCTTTTTAATATAAAAGTATATTTCATATGTTTTATTCACAGATCGTGTTGTTGATGAATTGAATCCAGAAAGCAATTTTACATGGAAAGAAGTAACTACATTGATCCATGATAATGAGCAAGATAATATGCTTCAAGACTTAAGTGTTTATGCTTCAAAATATAATGATGAAGTTTTAAAATATTTATGCACAGATTTGAATCAGTGCCTCAGTAGAGTTAGTATTCTAAAATATCATTTTAAGAAAATTTTAATTGAAAATAATTTCTTATATTTGCATTTATTACTTTGCTTGTAATATTTCCCAGGAACCATTTGAACACGAATCCTTGCTCTCTGATCGCAAAGAATTGAAATTGACTAAACATGAGAAGAGGCTTGCTAAACAGAGTTATGAAATGGAAAAAAGAGCAAACATGATTAGTAATTATAATAGACCTTCCTATACTAGTGTTTATCCTGGAAATTCATCAGGTAGCTTTAGTTTTCAGGGAACAAATGTTAGGTAAGTATTTTTAATTCTTAGTCTATTTTATGAATATTCAATTTCTTATCTTTTGCAATTTGTGTTTTAGGGCACCTTGGTTATCGCAAAATTCAACCATTCTACCGTCCCAATCTACACCTCTACCGATGCAACCTGTAGGACCTTCTGGATTGAATCACATTCAGAATAGACCACTTCCTCCTCATTTGGTTCACAGTTTATTAAGACAAGGTGTTGTTGTGCAGCATCTTACAGTTCCAAGTGGTACTAAATTTAATCATTAATATATTTTTTAGAGATGTAACCAATACCAACATATTGGCATATCAGAATGGTCTCATCTTGTCTGTTCATTTTGCAAACCGATACTTCAAATTTTATATATATATCTTTCACATTGTTTTGCCATAACAGGCATTCAAACAAGGCAACATACATACCATGCCATAAACCATTCATCTGCATTATATCCTAATTTCACTTCCCCGACTACTGTTCTTGCTATCTCAGTATCTCACTTGAAAGATGATGTAAAAATATTAAATAATAATTAACAGATTATATATTTTATCATTTTTTAATTTTGTTTTATTTTTAGTACTAATAGAATAAATTTTCCATTAGGAAAACTATTGATTTTGAAATTTTATTTGAATTTTCTATAGCCTGTACAGTTTTCTGGCAAATCACATCTATCCATAAAATTATTTAAACATAGAGTTAAAATTTAATTTGATAGATTCCACCTTCAATCCTAATTACAGTACTGTTAATATTTGGATACACCATTAACTCTTTATACTCTACTATAAAACATGATACACAGAATGATATGCTATAAAATTATAAGATTTTATATAATTATTTTTTGAACATGTTTTCTGTATACAAATAATGCTCAAAAAATTGAAAATATTGCAGGTTTTAATACTAGTGTACCTTTTTTTCTTATATTAATCATTCCAGCTATCATTTATTTCCCACAGTTTAACAAAGTGTGATGATGTAACATTCGGGGAAGTGAGATTTGAGGAAACTGACATGTAATCATAACTTGTGGTAGACAGAGCATTCTCTCTGCACATGGTTTGTTACTGATGGCCACATGATGTATGGTTGTTGTCACTTTTGGTTTAAGTTTGATGGAATTCTGCAACACAATCTGCCAAGGGGAGATGACTCCTGGCAAAACTTTCTATTGAAAACTGGTGTTAGATCTAGTGAAGAAAATCCAGAACTCCACATGGCCAATTGTTGGTAAGGCAAAAACCCATGACCATTACTAGTGTTCAATGTCACTTTTGGTGAGCTCCTCTCTGATCTAAATTCCAGATTTAGCAATATTTCAAGATATTTTGAGCTAATTGACAATTTTGCAACAGTTTTTTTTCAATCTGATGATTTTTCTGTACTATTATAAATGTATTCAAGGTTGGTTCAATTTTTTCTAGAAGCAGGGCCACAGTCAAGCATGTAAGCAAACTATACAATTACAATAGCCTAGGGTCCAGGATCTTAAAGGACCCATAAATCAATTGTAAACTTTTGTTTCTTTATATTTGAATTTAAATGGTTAGAATACAAAGAGAATATTCTGTAAGCCAAAATATTCTGTCTGCCAACACCTATAGTTTATGGTCGGAAGCAAGTTTCAGATTGGCTTAGTTGGAAAATTATTGATATCGGCAGAATTCAGTACCTTATCATCTCTAATATTTTTTTTTATAAAATGACAGCAATCTGTCATCAATATTTGTTTATAAGCCTGCCAAACAATTTAATAATTTCCAAGTATAAATTGAAATAAAATTGTTTATTAATTGACCAAACATTGTAGTAATGCATTTCATGACTTTCAGATATTAACATTCCTGGCAATACAGCTGGTTCACCATCTGTAGTAATCAAAGCTGGTCAAGAAGTTCTAGTCATGAAGACTCAGAAAGGTATGTATCTCAATCTACCAGATGGAAGAATAGTGGCCATACGACTTCCAAATGCTGTAGAAGAAACCCTTTCCCGAACAGAAAATTTACAGAAAGGTATGCATAACTTCAGTTGCTTTGAGTGAGTGGAACAATTGACAAAATTAATTATAAAATTTTATTTCAGATTTAAGTCAGACGACTGTTAAATTATTTGAACCTTCTGCTGATAGATCACAACAGTGCATTGGTGTAAGTATTAATCTTAGTTTTAATTTTCATTTAAAAAATTTTAAGCAATTTTATTTATTTAGATTGTTCAACAATCGCTTCATTGTGGAGGAACAGTGAGATTTATACCACCGGGATCAAATGCCACTACAGAAAACAGATTTCCCGAAGTAATAGATTTGAGTGATGACAGTGATCAGGGTGAAGTAGTTATCACTAACGAAGTGCTTCCAACGGAAAAATCTGAAAACACATTACCGACAACAAACTGGCCCGAGAGTTCAGCCTCGTCTTCCACTCCATATAATTTTAATCAGCAAACTGATAACCAAACCCACATTCCAGAAAAGATCGACACGTCTTGTGGAATAGGATGATAACTGCCACCCAGTTTAAACGTTTATGTCCACCAAAGATGTATTTGTATTAAATAGTTGCTCATCTGTTTATTTCAAAGCTTAGTTTTTAAGCTTTTTATCCTCTTCCGTAAGCATCACGAGTAGACGACAAATGCATTTAAGTTTATCAATTCAAAGCGTGGACGTAAAGATTCGCATTTATTTTAATCATAGTTTGACTCGTCAAAAGAAACTCTAGACAAGTTGGAAAGTTGAAGCTGCTTTTCTTTCCCTCCTATTTAAAAAAATAAAAAATTTTTTATTTGATTAGATAGAAGTTTTAGAAGTCCGAGAACATTCGATGTCGATCATACTTCAGCTGTGCTAATTAACATTTATTCTGGTTGTGGACTGTCTCGAACTCAGTCTGTGTGGTCGATTCATATTGTCTGAGCAGCATTAAATTTCTCATTTATCACAAATTGTATTTAGATGAGTATGAATTTAAATATTGTCCTTTTTGACTTATTTTTTTGTATGTTGTAAAATGTCCATTTTCATAATCATGTACTTTGCATTAAAAAAAACAAAAAAATTGTCAGAAATAGCTTTTACTGTTGTAATTATGTACAAAAACTTTAATAAAATATCAAAACACTTTTAGTGAACATTTTCATCCTTTTGGTTCGAAAACTAAATTTTTAGGTAATGCCATTCAGACTTATATCAAGTTGGTTCTGTTAAAGATTTTTGTTCTTTAAGGCAGTAAATCCGTCAAATTCCTTGTTTCCTAGAACAGATAAATGTGTCAGTTGCACAATAAACATGGCTATATTCTAGCCTAGATTTCAACAACACTAATATAACAATATTTTCCTACAACTTGTAATCAATGTAAATGATTGTACAGAAGAAATAAGAGGGAGGATAGAAATAACAAGAGCTAATTTTCTCAAAATAAGTATTTTGAGTATTTGCTGTCCCCTAAAAAGTTCAGATTTGCATTGTTAGCAGAACACTAAAAAGTACAAGTACTTATTCACAAACTTAAATCATACACAGTATATATTTTGTTTTTATTTGAGAAGAAAAAAATATAGACAAATTTAAGTGAAAATTTTCAGTTTATTTGAAAATGTTACATGTCAATAAAAGTTAAAATTTTCAAACAAGTTGAAAATTTTGGGTTTTTTAACAACTAAAGTGAAATCCACAAATAAATTAACTTTGTGATGTTGAAAGAAACTGATGACTTGGTGCTACAATATTTGATGCTGTATCTTTTAGTACAATTGCCATTATATAAAATTACCATTTCTTTTGTAGCACAAATTAAATGTCTGAATGAATGTCCTAAGTCCCATTTCCATTACAATTCTTGATGGAAATATTTTGGTTTTAATTCTTCTATTCTCTTGATGTAGTCTGCTTTCTCAATACATCCTTCACATCTCTCGTCCCAGTCGGAAAGGATTTTCTTCAGATCTCTTACTTTCAATTTTTTCAAATCTACAGTATTGAGGTCAATTACCTTTTCTGAAAAAGAAAATAAAATCAGTAAATAATCTTAAGCTCTTACAGGGTAATTTTGTTTGCATTCACTCACCATATCTTAATTCACATATTTGTGAATCCTTTTTCTTCAGTCTCTCGCATATTTTATCTGCTGGCAAACCCCAGCTCATGGGTTTCGACATTTCTGCTAAAATAGACGTGGCAGATTCTTCTAGTCCTCCTAAATAATAACACTAAAAAATTTGATTTTTAAATGTTAAATTCCTAATATGGAATTTCTCTTTAATAAAAATCACTTACAAAACGATTTTCTGCTTTCTTTGTATTTAGACAGATATCTTTAAACTTCTGTTCTATTTTGGCTGGCAGAGACTTCTCATCATCTGTTAGACTCTTAGCTAGTTTATTTATTACTCCCAAGCAAACTTTAAATAATAATAACTCTCATTAGTGATATAAACAATCACATTTGTTCTTAACTGCTAAAACTATAGAAATGCTCACCTTCACATTCACCTTCCCTTAAGCTTAATGTGTAAGGTAATACTGCTATGAGACTAGCAACTATCATAAATGATTGTAAAACTTCCATTTTGTTTTATTTCCTGTAATAAAAATTATAAGATTATGATTTTTTTTTATTTAACTTATAAAACATATTTTTAATATGTCTTTCATTGCTTACTTTATTAAATTTAAAGGCAATAATACTGCTTGTCAAAGCAGCATTAAAAGTAATTCAAACTAACAAAGCAATTTGTCTAGAAATAGGTGGTTAGGATGCCATCTTGTGATAAATTTAATAATTAGAAATTTAATTTAAACCATGCGAGTCACTGTGCCAATTGGGGACAACTTTAGTGCCTATGGCTCTCCTTGGTTCTGAGCAAACTTGTGCTTTTATTCCAGCATCATTATATCAATATATACATAATCATATACAACAACCCAAAACTGATTAATAATTAAATAATCAAAACACAAATGATAGCTAATTTTAAAAAAAATCCCTCTTATTGTAAGATAGCAGGATGTAAAATTTAGTTTCAGGACTATCATAAACAGTAATTTCTTATAGCTTGTGCAAGAGTTTTATATCTGGATATATCAAAAGATGACAAAAAAAAAATGTCTTGAATAAAAAAGACAAACGTACTTGCATCCTTTAGAATTTTTTCTACTAAAAAGAGTGAAGAACAATGTTTTTTTTTTCTGGAAGTTTAGCTATGAAAACTAATGATTCTGGATTCAAAATTCCATTTGCTTCTATGAAATTCAGTTTTGTGAACCAAAGTTACATTCATAAAAGAAAACTTTATTTACTCCCCTTTTTTCTAACCACATTATTGCTATAAGCTATAAACAGATTTGGTTATAATTTGCAGTTTACAATCTATCTCCCCAAGTCAAAATATAAGCTTACTATGATAGCATTTAATTAAGCATTCTATACTTCTGATGGATTAGAAAAATTTAACAAATGGCTTCTATTAGATTATTTTAATCTTTATAATTGGACTTTAAACCGTTGCATCGTATAGACTTTTTTTAAAGCAGAATAATAATTTATATCAAATTCTAGGTTTTCTAAAATATCTCTATAATCTTAAATCAATATTAAATAATTTTTAACAAATTCAGTTATTGGACCAAATACCTTTTCAGATTTTCTAACAAGTGTCATTACATTTTTATAGTAATCAGTTTCATTTGTATGTAATCTATTTTATAATGTTACACAGTTGTCTTTTGAAGATCTTTTTAACATTATTTTATACAAGGAAATGAAACAATGCAGTAAATATATGGCTGGTTTCTGTGCAAATCAATTTATGGGTGGATTGTAATCTAATCTTTAATAATAATAAATTTATATATTAATAAATTAAGCCTTTGAATTTATTGTCGGCAGATTCAAACAGTAAGAAAGATTGGAAGACTTCAAACAGCAAGCATCACCAATAGATTCAAACAATGAATAAGATTAGCTCTCTCAAGTGTAAGCAAGTATGGAAATTTCAAAGAAACGATTTTTCCCATTACCCTTCTTTCAGTCCAAAAGTCCAGTTAAGAAAGTGTGCTCATTAAATCAAGCTCCAATAAATAAATGAAATTAAATAAATTAACTTTATATTAAGTGCATATTGGTGTATAAACTAGAATCATGTTTAAGAGATGATTTTTTATGCAGAATTTCATAAAAGAAAAGAAAAATCAGATTTTTTTTAAACGAATCTTCTATGAAATCAAATTCCTGTGTTAAAAACCATATATTTGTCCTTATACTAAACGAATTAGTTGGAAGATACTTTAGTTAAATCATACGTACAGGAATATAGAGCTAAGTAACTAAAAGTAACTTCTACCGTGAACTGTAATCATTAAACGCTTTTCATTCATACTTTGTAGTTTTTAAACATAAATATAATTTAAAACATGTTTTAAATGACGTATAACGTATACTTACAATAAACAAAGCTTTGTAGACGTGTTATTATAATATTTAAGACGAGACAGACGTCATATAAGATACGATTCCGATTGAAAATAATAATAACTGAATACTGTTCCTTTGACAAATCTCGATTTTAGCTTAAAGGACATTTGTCTTCTTCTGATTGGTTAATTTCTCTAAGACGCCATCTTACGAATAGAATCCTGGAAACAATAGAATAATTTTCATTTATTTTAAATAACTTTCAAACTCGAATTATTATTTTTAATTAGTATTTTTTAAAATGATATATTAATAAATTTTATTAATATATCATATAAATAATTTTTTCATTTAACTTTTAATATTATGTAATTTTTTTCTTTAATTATGGCGTCATTATATCTCAATGAACGTTTTATATATTATCATCATGGTTATTTGTCAAGGTCCTAGATTATATTCTGGGACCGTGGGTTACTAATATGGTTTCTCAAATGGGATTCAGACTGTTTTTTTAAGCCGAGAAATTATTCTCATCCCGGGAAATCCCGCAAATTTCTTAAAAGTTCACTTTTTTCTTATTTTGTATTAAAGTTCAGGAAATTTTGCAAATAGAAAATATAATTAATCCATAAACTGTCAAAATACATTTGTATTTATTAGTTTTAAGCTTGCTTATTAGTTTTTTAAATTTTTGCTTGTCATGATATCTCACAGATTGCCAATAACCAATATGTATTTGTGGCAGGACTCTGAAAATTCTTTACTTCTCAGAACCTGTAATATCTGGAATAATTGCGCCGATCCTGTCTTAATTTTAACTATGCCCAGCAGCTTCGATAACTGCATTATAACAGGCTGTGTAAATTGGACAAAAATAGAAACGTAGTCTGCAAGTATGAAGTTTTTCTTCATAAACCTGGTTATTAAAGCCAAACGAACTGCCGAATTATCGGGCTATAAGCTCGATACCGCTATTAAAGTAGCCGAGGTAGACAAATCAAGAATACTTGAGAGCAAAAGAAGTACTGCAACGCATCTCGAAACGAACTATCTTCGCGGCTATGGGTGAAAAAACACGCAACATTTGTCTTCTCTTAAATGCTTTAAAGACGATTCCACCCATATCCATTGAACCGGAAACTGCATTCTCAGTAGCGGGACTTTTCANTAAATAATTTTTTCATTTAACTTTTAATATTATGTAATTTTTTTCTTTAATTATGGCGTCATTATATCTCAATGAACGTTTTATATATTATCATCATGGTTATTTGTCAAGGTCCTAGATTATATTCTGGGACCGTGGGTTACTAATATGGTTTCTCAAATGGGATTCAGACTGTTTTTTTAAGCCGAGAAATTATTCTCATCCCGGGAAATCCCGCAAATTTCTTAAAAGTTCACTTTTTTCTTATTTTGTATTAAAGTTCAGGAAATTTTGCAAATAGAAAATATAATTAATCCATAAACTGTCAAAATACATTTGTATTTATTAGTTTTAAGCTTGCTTATTAGTTTTTTAAATTTTTGCTTGTCATGATATCTCACAGATTGCCAATAACCAATATGTATTTGTGGCAGGACTCTGAAAATTCTTTACTTCTCAGAACCTGTAATATCTGGAATAATTGCGCCGATCCTGTCTTAATTTTAACTATGCCCAGCAGCTTCGATAACTGCATTATAACAGGCTGTGTAAATTGGACAAAAATAGAAACGTAGTCTGCAAGTATGAAGTTTTTCTTCATAAACCTGGTTATTAAAGCCAAACGAACTGCCGAATTATCGGGCTATAAGCTCGATACCGCTATTAAAGTAGCCGAGGTAGACAAATCAAGAATACTTGAGAGCAAAAGAAGTACTGCAACGCATCTCGAAACGAACTATCTTCGCGGCTATGGGTGAAAAAACACGCAACATTTGTCTTCTCTTAAATGCTTTAAAGACGATTCCACCCATATCCATTGAACCGGAAACTGCATTCTCAGTAGCGGGACTTTTCATTATTAAAATAATAACCAGATTGAGTGATCGGGGTATTGACTCTCCATGGTGTTCAAAATCTTATAAAAATTTATAATATTTTGTATTATGTTTTATTTATAAAACAAAAATTACCTTTTAAGTAAACGTTTGATCTAAGTTTTTTTTTTTTTTTAATTTTCAACTAAATTCAAAGGCTTTTTTTGTAAGTAGTCTCCAACAAACTTTAATAATTTTTTTCTATTTGTGAAAATTTCTACGTAATTCAAAGGTAATTTCAATATATATTTTACAGAGCATTATTAATATTAAGATTTTGGAGATTGCAGAACGTATTAAATTACTTTTAAAAATGAAAAATAATTATATCATTTGATTTCAAGATATTTTTTATATCTTAAAAATAATTATATCCCAGGATTCCTGGAAACAGTTCACTTTTTCCCCTAAATCTCGGGACAAGAAAAAGACCGGAAAATGATAAACCCTAGTTCCTAGATCATATGAATGGGAAACTGTTATTGTTCTCACTTTTCATTTTCGTTCTAGGGACAACTGCTCCCGATAAGGCGGCCGCGGCGTTTCGATTGTCCAATTGGAAAAGTTGGAGAGAATTGCATTAACACGCGTGTATTTTTAAAAGTGTTTTTGTTTTGTTTTTAGTTATTTTACCTTTATTTTTTAAGTTTATTTTTTAAATATACGATTGTTAATTCGGCTTTAGATCGTTTATTTTTAAAGAGACGAGGCCGAAATAGTCGATTTTTACGAAGCAGCACGTGAATTCAGAATCGGTGTATTTCTAGCAAGTAAGATGTGCAAATGTCGTGCCCAGAGTTGCCATAAGAGAGTACAACAAGATGTACAACAGGAGTTGTACGCGGTGGTGATATTCAGCGGGTTCGCACAGGTTCGGCCGAACCCGTTGTTAACATTTTCAAAGTTTTCCGAACCCGTTGTTAACATTTTCAAAGTTTTTAAAGCAGAATAATAATTTATATCAAATTCTNTATTATAATAATACCTAACGATAAAATAAATGATTTAGAAAAGTTTTTCTTGTTTAACTGCTTTCCCTATGACTTTTTCTGATTAAAAAAAGCCAATTTTTATTTTTATAAAATATTTTGAATGGAAAATATTAAAATATGTACAAAATAAACCATTTTGAACACTCTTTTTTATTATTTATAAAAAAAATATATATATATATATATAGTTCTGGCATAAACAATGTTAAATTTTAACTGACTTAATTTTGCGAACGCATCTTTTTTATTTATATGGATATCTTAAGGTCAGTTTTTGCGTTAATGTTGCTAATGCACCATTTGAGCGAAAAAAAATTATTAAGGGAAAATTTTCTGATAGTGAACCCTTTGTTAAATATTTCGAATATCACCACTGGTTGTACGTACAGTACATCTTTACATTTGTTGCAGACTGCATTATTTACAAGGTAGAGAAACAAGTTATTTGCTTCAAAACATAGGGCCTACCATTAAATCGGCAAGAAACTTGCCCCACTTATATTAAATTTTTAACTCTAATAAAATTTTGGATAATTTTATGTAAATATTGCTAGTAAATTGTATATTGAAATATATTTTTATTCATTTATTTATTTAACTTTCATTGATCTAACACTGGACTACAGTTTTATTTTTAAAAGTCATTTCTAACTTATCAGTTAAAGATATTATTTTTTTCTTTAAAAAATATTTTTTTCCTTTTGATTTCTATGCCACAATATAGTAGTTTCTAACAATGAAAACTGTTAACTCATTTATGGAAATTTGGTGTTATAGAGTAAGCTAGTGGGGTGATAAACTTTTTCTAATCTTTTTAATGTAGTACCAAAATAATATAGTTGTGTAGGATGGTTTTGATATTGTACATGTTTGACATTAAATATTAAAGTGTCTTTTAAAGAAACTTGAAATTAAAAAAGACTTGTAAGTTTTTTAAAATACTCTATAATTCAAAAAAATTATAAAATTCGATGGAGTCAGAATTTCCTTCTTTTCTTTTCTTCTTACATAAATGTAAAAACACGAAAAAATTTATATTTTTCTTTCTCTTCTGTCTTTTGGATAATATACAACTTCAATTATTAAAAATATCAAGCCTATAATGACTATAAAACTTCCAAAAAAGAGTTAATAAGGTATAAAAAAGGAAATAATTTGCAGAGAAAAAACTTTTATTTACATCATTACTAACAAGCTTCCCAAATGCATTTCGCCTACGGCCTCTTCAGTGGGGCTCTTCAGTGGGGCTCACAGTACACAGTAACAGCGGAATGCTGGAAATTTTTTGTTAACCATATAAGTGGCTCTTCAATAAGTTGACTGTTAGAACGCAAACTGTGTACTGTGAGCCCCATTGAAAAGGCCGTAGGCGAAATGCATTTGGGAAGCTTGTTAGTAATGATGTAAATAAAAGTTTTTTCTCTGCAAATTATTTTCTTTTTTATACCTTTTTAACTTTTTTTGGAAGTTTTATAGTCATTATTGGCTTGATATTTTTAAAAATTGAAGTTATATATTATCCAAAAGTCAGAAGAGAAAGAAAAATATAAATTTTTTCGTATTTTTACATTTATGTAAGAAAAAAACAAAAGAGATACTCTATAATCATTTTATAATATAGCTCAAAGTTTTCATAAGCTATATTTTATATGAAAATTTTATTCTTATAAGTTAATTTTATTAATTAATAAATCCATAGTAATTTGTAAAAATTTAATCTAACAAAATTAAGAATGAGGACGAAGCAATTTTCAGTTTAGCCCACAAAATATAGCCTACTAATGGAAATCACTATTCTATAAATTTAATTAAAATGTTTGGAAGTTTCAAGAAATCGGTCCATCAGTAATTGTAAATTACAATTTCTTCTATTTTTACATCGAAGAGATTTTTATTCATTAGATTAAATTGAACAGATTTTTATTGCATTAAATGAAAGAATATAAACGACAATAAATTATTATTAATGACTAGGCACCGGCATAAACAATAGGAACGGATAAGCATAACCTGTTTAGTCTTTTATATCTTAAGTAAACTAAGATATAAGGCTAGGCTTCCACTTGCGATTTCTAGTACGGCGACTAATAAATCGCTGCCGCAGAAAATCTACACTGCTATAGATAAATCGTTGAATTAGAAAAGTTTTCCAATGGCTGTCATTATA